ATATTGCCAGACTAACCTTATCTCATTTTTATAAGATAGCTTATGTAATAGACTGTGGGAATGCTATGGTCTTAATATACCTTGGCTTCAGTATTTGATTCAGCACCCATTACATGCTGATTATCAGGCTTCTTAGATATGGACTAGATAGCAGGACAATTAAGTAGAAAAATAATTTCCTCAAAGATCATACTCAGAAAATCTTCATCAATGACATCTCATCAAATTGGAAAGAGATATTGAATGGGGTGCTACATGGCTTCTTCCTGAGGTCCTCTGATCTTCAGTGTTTTTATTGCTGACTTGGATGAACAGGTGGAGAGAATCTTATTAAATCTGCAGATAACACAACATAGGGTAGGTTAGCCAATACCCAAGAAGGCAGTAATAAAATATTAAGAAGGATTCAGAAAAATTATAACAGCTTCAGAAAAGGACTCTGATGAGGGCCTAGTAATTAAGTGCTATGAAGAAAGATTGAAGGAGCTGGGTATATTTAGCCTTGAGAAAAGATAATAGAAAGGAGATAGTATTCTTCAAAACCCTAGAAGAAGGTCAGGACCTGTTCTGTCTCATTCCATAGGACATGGAATAATGGAATAAAGTTTTATAGGTAGGCAAATTCTGACTGAATGTTAGGAAAAGCTTCCTAACACAGCAGTTTGATAGTGGAATCAATTACCTAAAGAAGTGATGGTCACTCTTTCACTGGTTGCATTCAAGTGAAGGCTAAATATTCATATGTCAGGAATGCTTTAATTTGAATTCCTACACTGAGCAGTGGGTGAGACTTGATGGCCTAAATGACCTCTTCCAAGTCAGTCAGTCAGTCAGTCAGTCAGTCAGTCAGTCAGTCAGTCAGTCAGTCAGTCTATCTATCTATCTATCTATCTATCTATCTATCTATCTATCTATCTATCTATCTATCTATCTATCTATTTATAGGCAACCCAATCCCATCACAACTCTGGACTGTATAGTATACAGGGTATCTGCAAAGATAAGGCTTCTGCCTCCTCTCACTCATGAAGGAATGATGTCCTGCAGGACAGAAAACAATAATGGCAATTGGCAGGAAAAAATGTTGTGAGAACACAGCTGAGAAAGAAGAGTAGGCGTAGAATTGTAATTTGTACAAATGTTATTCAGAAGATAGATTAAAAATTGATTTAACTTTTCCTAACTTGAAGGTCATCAGATGTGCTTGGATAATAAATCACCTCATTCCTCACCAGGGTTCTTTTTCTTTTTCAGATCCCATCCCACTGTGCTCAAAGACCAATAGAAACTTCAACACTGACAGGCCCTTGAGTTAGACCCAAGCATGAATAGTGAGGATGCTTTGGCAATAAATGTTCCACTGATGACTGATTCTTATTTGGATGACTTAGTGTCATGGCTTGGTTTAGGATATTTGAAGCAATACATAATTGCTTATAGCCTTTTACTGCTTGCACTGAATTTATGGAGTTAAGGTGCAGTGCATCTTGGAACATGGATGAGATTAAGGTCAAGTTGGCTTTAAGGGGCTTTCACCACTACCTGAATAAGTAGTAAATTTATGCCAATGGAACTTTCCATAGGCAGAGGGCATCCATGAAAGAATTCACTACTCCATTGGTGCAACAGCATTCTTCTTTATTATTTTATATTGTGCTCCTATGCACACTAACCTATGAGTAAAGAGCTTTGAACATAGTGGCAATGGTTTATGATACAAATGAACTTTCACGGTTGCCTGCAGACAAACTTTTAGAGCAAATGAAGGATGGGGGAGTTTCATCATCATTTCATCTTTTATTCTGATGGCTTCCCTGTTCTTTGTGTGTATGAGAAATATTCCAAACCACAGTGAGATCCCCACTGAAGACAAAATGACTTCTTCCAAAGCTTAATGCAGCACAATATAAATTATACCATGAATCTGCCCTCTTATCCTGGAAAGCTCAAAACATGATAATGCAACACCACTTTGCTTAATCTTCTCCCAAGCATCTTCAATCAAGCACATTAAAAATAAAAACAGGGTGGCTCTTTTAAAAAACACAAATATGCACTTCTGTTTAATTGGGGTAACATACCAACAACTTTTTAAAGGCCTAGAGTGCTAATGCCTTGAAAGGGCTCCTTGGGGGAGGGACAATTTTAGATCCAGAGCAGTAGTACATAGTCAGGGGAAGGCAGAAGTAAAACATGGCTGTTACTGAAATTCTTGGCTTGTTATTCAGAGAATCTGGGGAAAGCAGGGATTAGACCAATAAGCCGAATTCAGAAAACTGGCAGTAATGCTCAGACTCAGTGCCAAATGAGCTGGTTCCTTCTTAATGAGCCAAAAGCATTGCCTGGTTTTCCGGCTAGCAAGAAGGTAGAAGGATGGAGGTCTTCTGCTTCTTTTCCTCATAAGTGGCTCAGCATTAGGAACTGGCTGCTTTAGCCAAAATGGTACAACTCACTTCAGTAGAATCAGATTGCCCAGAATAATATTAAGAGGCTCCCTCATGCCTGTAAAGTGCATGATCTTTCATGCAAAATAACCTTTGGAAGACTTTCTTTTCTATCAGTTGTACAGGATAGCTTTACCTGGCACCAGGTGGTTCTTCCCTAAAGAATGTTAAGGTGGCTGGGTCTAGACACTGTTTTAATGTCTTAGTGTCCTGGAATAGGGATCATGGTAATAAAAGGATGGGGCGAGTTCCTCATTTGCCCTGTGTCCCTTAGCTGCTGCTGAGCAACCTGGGTGTCCTCCAGCCTGAACGTGTTGCTCACCCATATATCAAAGACGTTGTGAGACATGTGGACCAAGAGACCTTCTGACACAGGCTGCCTGAAGAGCTGTCCTAGATTTTCAGAACAAAAGAAGAAAAAGGGAAGCGTGGGCATGAGCGGTAAAACCTTGTGGGATGCTCAGGCAACTGCATGCACTAAAGACTGGCCAGGGCATCTAACCAGTGGGACTAGTTAGAAAATGGCCATGGCAAGTCAGCATGTGACTCCAAGGTCCTTCACCCTAGTATAATTTGAGGTCAAAATGCAGGAGGTGACCATGCAAAATCACTGGATTTAGGTCCCCAAGCAGTTCAGGGTTGTCGTTGTTGTTGCTTTGAAAGCTTTTATTATGGAAACATCTTCTTTTTAAAAAAAGAAAGAGAAAAGAGAAATGTGTTTATCAATGGGTAAAATGTATTGATTACTTTTGTTGTTGTTTAGTCGTTAAGTCGTGTCCGACTCTTCGTGACCCCATGAACCATATTGCGTCTGCATATAGGTTAAATAAGCAGGGTGACAGTATACAGCCTTGTCGTACACCTTTCCCTATTTTGAACCAATCGGTTGTTCTCTGCATATAGGTTAAATAAGCAGGGTGACAGTATACAGCCTTGTCGTACACCTTTCCCTATTTTGAACCAATCGGTTGTTCTCTGCATATAGGTTAAATAAGCAGGGTGACAGTATACAGCCTTGTCGTACACCTTTCCCTATTTTGAACCAATCGGTTGTTCTCTGCATATAGGTTAAATAAGCAGGGTGACAGTATACAGCCTTGTCGTACACCTTTCCCTATTTTGAACCAATCGGTTGTTCTCTGCATATAGGTTAAATAAGCAGGGTGACAGTATACAGCCTTGTCGTACACCTTTCCCTATTTTGAACCAATCGGTTGTTCTCTGCATATAGGTTAAATAAGCAGGGTGACAGTATACAGCCTTGTCGTACACCTTTCCCTATTTTGAACCAATCGGTTGTTCTCTGCATATAGGTTAAATAAGCAGGGTGACAGTATACAGCCTTGTCGTACACCTTTCCCTATTTTGAACCAATCGGTTGTTCTCTGCATATAGGTTAAATAAGCAGGGTGACAGTATACAGCCTTGTCGTACACCTTTCCCTATTTTGAACCAATCGGTTGTTCTGCTGAAGCCTAGTTTGTAGGATTTTGAGCATAACCTTGCTAGCATGTGAAATGAGTGCAATTGTGCGATAGTTTGAGCATTCTTTGGCGTTGCCCTTCTTTGGAATTGGAACGTAAACTGACCTTTTCCAATCCCGTGGCCACTGTTGCGTTTTCCAAACTTGCTGGCATATTGATTACTTTACTCATGTCTAAATATTTACTTGTAAAGTGAATGTGCAGTGTATATGAGCATTTCTAATATTTACAATTGGTCCTCTTTTTTTGTCCTAGAAACATGGGTGTCCAGTTGATGGCAAGATGGGGAACTTGCGGAACCACCTTTCTCACATTGTTTCTGCTTGCCCCACCAGATCTAGTAGAGAGGGCATGCTCTGGGCTTTTCCTATCAAACAATGCCATCTTGTTGGACCCCAGAGTTGTGCCTTTTCACTGGCAGTGCCTTCCCTATGAAACAGCGACCCCCCAGAGATTTGGATGGACCCAAACCTGTTTGCCTTTCGCAAGGCCTTGAAGACCTAGCTGTTTCCCAGGCATTTGGGTCAGGGGGGTAGATGAGCTCTGTTGTCCTCAATGGGTTTTTTTCAGTGAGTGGGGTTATTGTTCATCCTTGGACATCTGCTGGGTTTTTTCTGGGTTTTAATCTTTGTAAGCTGCCCAGAATCATGTGTGAGGTGGACAGCTACATAAATCAAATCAATCAATAAATAGTCCCAGTTTTCATTAAAAAAAAAACAACCCAAAAAATGAAAAAACAAGAGATAGTCTCTATCTTTTCTAGAACCTGAAATATAAAGCCAAACATTTACAGTGGTCGCCCTTCTGTCCATTTTGTGAAAAAAGCTTGTTACATTTTTCACTGCTTTCAGCCAGTAAATGAAGAAATCTAACAGTGAAGTATACACTGTATGGAGAAGGGAGTTTTTCTGAGATTTCTTTTTAATCTAGATTTCAAGTGAGAGCAAAAACAGGAGTTTATAATACTTCTATCTTTTTTTTCTTTTTTAAAAGGGGTTTTTCTGAGTTTCTAAGTCCTTTTTACAAATTATGTGCTAATGAATACAGATAAAGTTGATTATTGTTATTTTCAGGTTTCGAAAGAGAGGATGACAGCTGAGGGCCTATAAATCACACCAATCTTGCAAGGTAATCCAGTATTGTGATGGTCATTTGAGGGAGTGGGTGAGTGAAGTTTAATGATCTTAGAGAGGAGTCCTCACCAGCCTCCCGATATCCTGTTTCTTTCTGAGAGAAATGCTTGGAGACACTGAAGTTGATTATACAGTAAAGCAATTTATTAACTGAAGAGGCTTTAGGTGTACAGTATGAAAGTGCAATGTTAAGCAAGTTTTAAAAACTTCCTTATTCTTACCTCCTGGAGAGGGCCTAAGAGCCTCCCTTGGTATCAAGATATTTTGGCCTCTGACTTCTAAGAACTCTGTTGTGCGAGAACCTGAGAGCAGAACCTAAGGATGGGCTGCAAGCTAGACCAAGTGGGACTTCCCAGGTAAAGAAAGTCAAAGAAAATACTTATTCATTTCTTAAATGTGTATGCTTACTGCCTCTATAAAACAGTGTTGAAGAGGGTTAGCAATTCTTTGATCCACCTCTGTCTAACCTGAATTAAGCACCACTCTGATTCCTTTCAAGCAGACCATGACTGACTTTAGATATTGTTTTAGGGCTTGAACAGCTTCTTTGCATGTTAACCCTTGAGAATTTTAGCACTGGTAGAAAAACAATACATCGATCCTAGGTTTGCCTTATGAAAAAGAAGAGGTAGAATTTATGTATGTATGTATGTACGTACGTACGTACATACAGATCTATGTCAAGGCGAGCCTCACTAGCTGTAGATCTGCCACTTGTTTCTAGATAGACATGGAGAGAATTTCACCCTAACTGTTTGTAGGTCTACAGCCTTAGAAATCATGTATATATTCAGTTTAGGAGATTAATTAAGAGGTAGCACTCCATTTTCATTCATTCATTCATTTTCAGTTTTTCCCAAGCTGGATAGATTACTGGAAGTCATTTAAGCTTCCTAGATGAGCTTCACATTCTGAAGGGCAGGATGGAGCATGTATGTTTCCTCTCTGAGACCAATCTTTAGCTAGGGGGCTTCTGAATTTCCTAGGTGAGTTCTGTCTTTGGAAAACCTATCAAGGGATCAAATGAGAGCAACTGTTTTTAAACTGGCTTAGAAAGGTGCCTGAAGTAATGTCATGCTTTTAGAGCTGCTGTGGGTCTTACCCCATATCTCAGGCGCATGTTATACATTCACATAGCAGGTCATAGCAAGCTGAAAGAATGTGATATTATGCAGCAGCAAGGATTGACTGTGCCTCAGGCGCTTCTATCCTTCATTCCTCAGTTTTGAATGATTGTTGGGATGCAATCATTCCCTTGGAAAAGATCTATGCAAACAGTCAGTTGTGCAGAATAGAGTGGTAGAGAGCTGCAAGGGTGCCATTAAGGTGATCCCCGAGATCCCCGAGATCCCATGCTAGGGCTAAAGAACAATTCCTGACAAAATGAGGTGGTTGGAGCAGTTCAGAGATAAAGACCTGGCTGTCATTCTGTTACATGAACCTATATTCCAATTTTATCTGGTGAATGTGTTTCTTTCTTATCCGGTTTGCTGTTTGAAGGGATTTGGGGCAGAATAGATAATCCTAACTTTGAACATAAATCACTGGGCTGTATGGCTGATAGATGCCTTGCACTTTCTTATGATAATGCCTGATTGGAGGCCCAGAGGAAAAATGCCAGTGGCTTATCTCGGGGAAGCAGGATTGGGAGGGGAAAGAGCTATAATCTAGGAGGGCAGGCAATGAGATGGGACCCCATTTATTTACTCATTTTTGAGATCTCAACTTCTGTGGAAATACCATGAAGATTGCCACAGTTCCAGAGGCCTGGTTTGAGCAAGGCACATGCATTATCAGGACAGGGGAAGCTGTGATAGAAAGAATAAGGTTGCCTCTGAAGGGTTCAACACTGCCATCAGGGAAGGGCTGTCGTTTCCAGCCTTTACCCATCTTTTTCAGCAACAAAGGCCAGTTAGATTGGAGGGAGGGCTGGAAAGGACCCTGGGAAAGTGCTAGAGTGGTGATGATCACATTCAAGAAAATAGAATCATGGAGGAAAAAAGAATGGCAAAATTTCTGCTCTGGTAGTCTCAAAGATTACAGGCTTGAGCTGATAGCACAGGGCATGGGAGACAAGGCTTCATCAGAATGAAAAGACTTCCAAAGACATGCAGCCCCTTCCCCCACCCTTTTGCAGCCCCAGAGTCCCTATGGTTATGCCACTGAAATTTGATAAAAAACATTGAAATAAAACAGTGCAATGCTCTCTTTGTGGTCACAAATGAATTATAAACTATAAATGTTATCTAAACCTAATTCAACAATCCCAAAATGGGATTGGGAGGATGGTAACAAAAAAGGACCCTTCCCAATAGAATCACCACTTGACTGCCACAATCCAGAAATCTTGGAGGCCTAATTTAGCATCCCTCTTGGCCATAGAAAAGTTGTCTGCTCCTGATGAATGTGCCTCATATTTCTATGTAGCTCAGCTTAGAGGTGTGTCCCCATAGGTTCTAGGACAGGTACTGGGAGTGATCCTCAAAGTTCATATATTTCATCACTGACTGTAGTCCTAAATGTGCCTCTGGGGCAGTATCCAAGTGTTCATGTTCTGTGACTTCTAGAACCATCCAGGCTTATGCTAGGCAGGGCGGGAAAGGTATATGGAAGTCTCCCCCC